TTGTTTTTTGCAAACAGCACGCATGCTATTAATTATAACAAGGCTGAATTGTCCGAAATTTTGCAGCAAAAAAGAAAAAGAAATTTGTTCTACTTCATCACCGGTTTCACTGCTAAATCTTAGTTTAATACATTGGCCAATGCCAACGTCACTTTCACCAGTCTCTGAAACAGCATCTTTATTCATGTTGATTGTCACAACACATGTTATTATGAACAAACACCTGAGCGTTTGTTACGTCTACGCCACCTGGTGTGAACTATAGGAGGCTTAGGGTATATAAGGCACTGCCATGTGGCAGAAGGCCTCTTCTTACCTCGTGCATGCTTAGAGCTCTATTCAGCCAGATGCTCGATAATAAAGCATGGTGTTCTAACATAACTCTAAATACAGTACGTATATCAGTATTGTAACATGGTGTCAGAAGTGGACGTGTGTGTGCTTCAAGAATAGCTGAAAGGAAAGCTGTGTTATTGCTACTCTGATTCAACAAGCTACAGCAAGGCAAACATGGAACAGCTCAAGCCTTCAGGACCACTACACTTTGATGCTAGAAATTTGCCTCAAGCTTGGAAGAAGTGGTAGAAGGAGTTTGAACTGAACATGGAGCTGGCATTAGAAGGGAAGGATGAAAAGGTAAAGCAAAAATTTTCTTGTACCTAATTGGAAAGAGAGAAAGGGAGATATGCCCGACTCTGCTCGTCCCAGTAGCAGAAGAGTTGCGCACTGTACAGCACATGCACGACGCAGTTGCAAAGTACTGCATCCCCACGTCAAACGAGACGGTGGAAAGATACCGGTTCTTTACGAGGAATCAGGACCAAACAGAGAACATTGAGGAATATTCAACGGCTTTAAAAGGGCTGGCGAATACGTGCAATTTCGGAGTGTTGGAAGACTCACTCGTAAGAGACAGAATTGTGGGAAGAGTGAGGATTCAAGGGACTCGTGAAAGCCTTCTGAAAGCTACGAATTTGACTCTCGACACGTGTCTAAAGTTGTGTCAAGTGACTGAATTCTCGCAAGAGGCAATTAGAAAATTTGCACACACCTCCAGTCAGTCTGTTCATGCAGTAAAGCACAAAGAAATGCGGGACAAGAGTTTTGGCGAGAGGCAGAAGAAAAGATGCAAGTTCTGTGGGAAAAGCCACATATACGAGCGAGAGAAGTTTCCAGCGTACGGCAAAAAGTGCAGAAAGTTTTATGGTGACAACCACTTTCAAAGCCAGTGCGACGCTCTGCGAAAGTCGGCTAAACCGAAGGCAAAGCAGCTCGCAGCTCGCAAATACCGTATTTCTGGAGCCGCGAATCAGCGTGTGAACGCTCGGCCGCGTATTTGTCTCAGATACGGTATTTCGCAAATCCGGTATTTCAAAAATACGAGGTCTCGTGTGAACGAGGCTTTATAATGTCTCACGCTTCACATGGCCTGGTGCAGTGCTTAGTTTAGTCAAATATTTTCAGTATTTCAGTCCACTATGATACGTACGTCACACATACAGCTGTAGTATCACTCGTTATTCTGGATAGTGTGTTTGAATAAGAGCGGAGTCTTTTTTGTTGTAAATATTTGTGTGATAGAATAAAATTGTATTATCAAAAATATGCGTCACTTTTCATATATAAGTATTATTGTAATAAAAATGTAGTTAAAATAACATTACCGAAACTTTTTACCACCTTTAATTATGCCCGTCTTCATAGTGAATCGACAGATATATTGACACGAAATTGCAAAGCTATAGGGTAAAAAACTATATTCATTTCTCATATGAAAAACATGATTGTTAAAAAACAATTTCTCAATAGATCTTGTAAAATATATATATAGATGAAATATTCCATTTATGCGTTTTCACACTTGAAATCTAATTCCTGTACTTTCGAACTTGGGATTACAACAGCCCACTGAGCACATATTTATATACTCGTAGATCGAGTGTAGATATTTTTACGCTATAACATGCATGTATAAATAATATGAACACTGACTGGCGTCTATAAACTATTGATGACAGCGGACCGCAGTGCCAATTTGTACACAGGCGCACATTTTTCCCTGAAAATAAATACAGAAAATGATCACAGATCCCCAACCTGAAAGCCTCATCCCATATTATATGCAATCAAGTATGGCATGCCCAACTCATTTTGCATACATGCACCAACGGTTACTACTTAGCAGTACATTCACCCGTTTATAGAGCAACAAAACTCACAGAACGTACAGTGCATAGGTTTAATTAGCAACTTAATTAGTTCCTTCCACCGAATAAAATAAATCATTTTCAGTCCATGGGAGACTTGTCATAGCGAATATGCACCGGTCACTTAAGCCACACATCCCACCCATGGGTGCTATCTGGTGGACAGCCCCAAACAACTTACTGTAGAAGACACTAGAAAGCATTTTCCAGACCTTGCTGCTATATGCTTTTAGAGCAGCATGCTGGACACGAACAGTATCCCGCTGTACTCGATCAGCACTGTCAGCTAGAATAGATAAGCCAAGGTTACCACTCCCACCGACTGGGTCTCCAGTCTTGTGGTAGTAAAGAAGTCTAATGGTAAACTGCGCATCTGTTTATACCCTAAAGACTCGAACAAAGTGCTGAAGCGCAGCCACTACCTTCTTCCCACCATTGAGGATGTGCTCCCGAATATGAGTAGAGTGAAGGTCTTCAGTCTGTTCGATGCTAAAAATGGGTTTTGGCATGTTGCAATGGATGAGGACAGCTCATATCTCATCACGTTCAATACGCCGTTTGGAAGATATTGGTGGCTCCGGATGCCGTTCGGAATAAAACCGGCTACTGAAAAATATCAACGACGGCAGGACGAGGCACTTGAAGGCTTGCCAGGCGTGAGAAGCATCGCCGATGATGTGATAGTGATGGTGTAGGAGACACTGTGGAAGAGGCTCTGGACAACCATGACTCCAATGTCCGTGCGTTCTTACAGCAGTGCAGGCAGAAGAACCTGAGGTTAAACCCAGGAAAAATGAAGCTCAGGCGGACACAAGCAGCATATATTGGGCACCTACTCACTAGCCGCGGCCTGATGACAGACCCAGAAAAAGTGAGAGCAGTGGAACAGATGCCACCCCCTCGGAATGTACCAGCTGTCAGACGACTCCTTAACCTAGCGAATTATCTTAGCAAGTTTGTACCCAAACTAAGTGCTTTGGTGGAGCCAATGAGAGTGCTGACACAAAAGAACATTGAATGGCATTGGGAGAAAAGGCAGGAACAAGCTTTTAGAGAGCTGAAAGTTGCCATTACAGAGCAGCCGGTGCTTCGGTACTTTGACCCAAGAGAAGAGGTGGTAATGCAGTGTGATGCCTCAGAGAAAGGGTTAGGTGCGGCGCTTATGCAGAAGGGGCAACCCATTGCTTTTGCAAGCAGAGCCCTTACAGACACAGAAACTCGATACGCACCGATCGAGAAAGAGCTCCTTGCCTGTGTCTTTGGAGTTACCAAGTTCCACCAGCACGTATATGAAAGGCCATTTGTGGTACAGACCGACCATAAACCACTGAAGAACATTATGCAAAAATCGCTTCATGCGGCACCGAAATGGCTGCAAACCATGTTGGTAAAGCTAAAAGGCTATGACGTAGAGTTGAAATACCAACCTGGCCTTACCTTGTACCTGGCGGATACGTTGAGTAGAGCATACGTTCTAGGAGATCCTGAACTGGATAGCTTCGAGAAGTACCTAAATAATGTCAATGTGCTGAGTTATCTGCCAATTTCAGAAAGTAAACTCGAACAGATCCGTGCTGCTACTGAACGCGACTTGAGTGTACTTAAGTCTACTGTGTTCGAGGGTTCGCCCGAGAAGAAAGATACTGTGCCGGGAGATATCTAGCACTATTTTAGTCTAAGAGACCAGTTGTCGGTGCACAACGGAATAATTTTGAAGGGTGACCGCGTGGTAATTCCCAACTCAATGAGAAGGGAAATGATGGACCAGATACACAGCTCGCATGTTGGCATTGAAGCTTGCCTGAGGCGGGCTAGAGAGTGCCTGTATTGGCCAGCAATGAATTCGGAAATTCGCGATTTCATTGTTGCATGTGAAATCTGCAACTCGATGCCCAAGAAGCAGCAGGAGGAGACGTTAGTGCCACATGATGTGCCTGGTAGGCCATGGGCTACGGTGGGAACAAATCTGTGCTATATCGATTGGTTGAATTACCTCGTCACCGCGGATTACCACTCAAACTTTATTGAGGTAGATTATCTGGAGGATACCAGAGCAGAAACGGTTTTCACGAAGCTAAAGGCACAGTTTTCACGCTACGGAATACCGGATTCTGTCGTGAGTGACAACGGCCCACAGTTTTCGTGTGATGTGTTTGCGAACTTTAGCAGGAAGTGGGGTTTTGAGCATAACACCTCATCTCTTCGATATCCGCAGAGTAACGGTAAAGTAGAAAATGCAGTGAAGACAATCAAGAATCTAATTATGAAGTCAAAGATGGCAAAATCTTATCCTTACCTGGCTATTCTGGACTTCAGGAACACTCCAACCCAGAGAGTAGGGTCGTCGCCAGCACAAAGAATCTTTGGTAGGCGTACAAAGACGTTGCTACCCACCACTGCAGCTCTGCTCAATCCCCGAGGTTTACCCCATGACTGCGAGAGGGAGAGGATCACCCTACTAAAGCACAAGTCTGCAAAAGATCTAAGAGAGTTGTCGCAAATTGATGTAGTACGGGTACAGCCTGCCCCAGAGGGAAAATGGGTTAAGGGTTGTGGGACCATACAAGGTGACGGTGTTGGGAGAAAATGATCAACCCCAAAAATGATGAATTAACGTAATTAAAGATTCATAAAATCGAGAGAAAGCTGATCATTATACGCTAGAATAGTCAGCAGTTCTGACCGTTATGTGTTCATGCGCATTCTTGTACGCACCAGTTACAATAATAGCTAACCAGTAAATAACCATGCAGTTCTAGATCTATTGTTTGACGGCCAGTTTTGCCCCCGCTATTTACGGGTTCTATGTAGCATCACTGGCACAATCTATTCAGTCAAGTTTTGAAAGCGTTGTTTAAACAGCTGTTCTATGTAACACACACAAGTGATAGCTAGTGCAAACCCAGCTTTAGATCCTTAGAAAATTACACACGTCAACAAGCAACTGCTGCAAATAGTTATTAAAATAAAGTCCCTCACTAACTGTCCTCCAGGATCAGTGACTTGAGAGATGGCACTGACTTCTATTCTTCCTTTCCTCCCTCTGTTGGCAATTCGTTTTTAAACACGTTTACCGTTATTTTCTGCGTGCTGTAGCCATACGAACAGTTTCCCTGTGCGTTCCTCCTCTTCGACGTACCACTTTTTTGGCTGCGTCATTTTGAATGTTTGTGATCAATCTCCAGGCTAGCCTTTTATGCAGATCTACGCATCTTAGCAATGTTTACCTAGCAAAACGCACCTGTTAGGTGTGATATTCGCCTGTGTAACTTTCCATCCAATTTTCACTTATGCAGAAGGATCATAAGGCAGCCGATTTCGTTTGAACCATTGTTCATCTTTCACCCCGCAAAGAACTACAGAGAACTGCCGATGTTGTTTGATAATTTGCTCATCTTAAAACGAACGATTAAGGCGGACATTGTTTGATCTATTCAACCCACTTGAAAAAAACAAAGCATATCTAACATTTCACACTTCGTGAATAGCGGAAACGGCATGACTGAATAGATTGGTTATTTACTGGTTAGCTATTATTGTAACTGGTGCGTACAAGAATGCGCATAAACATATAACGGTTAGAACTGCTGACTATTCTAGCGTATAATGATCAGCTTTCTCTCAATTCTATGAATCTTCAATTACGTTAACTCATCAACATGAATAACGATGCTGATCAACGGCTTTAAGAGGGCTGGCGAATACGTGCAATTTCGGAGTGTTGGAAGACTCACTCGTAAGAGACAGAATTGTGGGAAGAGTGAGGATTCAAGGGACTCGTGAAAGCCTTCTGAAAGCTACGAATGTGACTCTCGACACGTGTCTAAAGTTGTGTCAAGTGACTGAATTCTCGCAAGAGGCAATTAGAAAATTTGCACACACCTCTATTCAGTCTGTTCATGCAGTAAAGCACAAAGAGGTGCGGGACAAGAGTTTCGGCGAGAGGCAGAAGAAAAGATGCAAGTTCTGTATACAATATTCTGTATTATTGTAACTGGTGCGTACAAGAATGCGCATAAACACATAACGGTCAGAACTGCTGACTATTCTAGCGTATAATGATCAGCTTTCTCTCAATTCTATGAATCTTCAATTACGTTAACTCATCAACATGAATAACGATGCTGTTTCAGAGACTGGTGAAAGTGACGTTGGCATTGGTCAATGTAATGAACTAAGATTTAGCAGTGAAATCGGTGATGAAGCAGAACAAATTTTCGAGACTGGTGACAATGAAGTGGGTTTAAAGAAACACCCTAAGAAGCGGCGCATAAATCAACCCTTACGAAACCCATTGGCAGTGATGTCTTTTAAATGTTTCTGCAACTGCTTGCAGAAATTCACCACAAACGAGATAGCTAGCTTAGAACAAAATTTTACGGAAAAAAATGAAGCAGCTCAGCGGTGAGGGTTGGTACAGCACTTGGTGACTGTTATAAAGGATTGCTCAAATGCAGCATATGACTGGAAATTAGACAAACCGGTGCTAAACACAGAACTTTGTCTGTGTGCCAAGAAACTATGTTCGCATGCTTTTTGCAAAATCTTAAACGTGTCAAGACACAGATACGATGAATGTTTATGGAGGGTAAGAAAGGACACACCACTAGTCACCGTAATTTATGGAAATGTTGGCAAGGGAAAACGCAGAAAGAAAACAACAGATGCAAATGCGTGGATTGCAGAAACTTTTAAAAGGATAAGGGATTACATGCCAAATGATGATACTATTTATCTGCCCTACTGCTATACAAAACTGAGCTTGTGGAAGCAGTACAAAGATGAGATGGAACAGAAGAATATCAAGGACCACATCTCATATGAATATATGATAGAGATATGGAAAAAAGACTTTCCCCAGTATAAGATTGGCAAGGTAATCAAAACTTTGTAGTCTTTCTAAGCTGATCTAAAGCTGATATCAAACTATGGGCAAAGTTTATGGTATGTTGATAGCTTTGTGTTACGGTATTCAATGTGATTAATCTACAATCTACATGCTCTTTTTTTAATGTCGATTATTTCAGCCATCAACTTTTGCTGTATGCAATACCTGTGTGCAGTTGAAGGTTGACTATCAAGCATCTGCCACAACGCACCAGAGACAAGCAATTGGTAAAGTAATAGCTCAACACAAGCTTCAAGTTGAGTAAGTAAATATAAACTTGACTAGTGGACCTGTCGACAGGCAGTCCTGGGATGATGAGTCAATGAAACAAGCATTGGTCGCCGTTGAACATGGAACGCCTTATTTGACGGCTGCAAAACAGTTCAACTTCCAGCAGATTAAAAAGAAGAAATCTGTTGAGGATGATGGTAACAGGAAAGGGCTCTGAACACCATGTGCAGTCAGGAAGATGGCCATGTGGATGCTGTGGGAGAGGAGTGGGAGTGAATTCAGTTTTATGCATAGAGTGTAACAAATGGTGTCACCAAAGATGCACAGGACTGAAAAGTGTACCGTAAAGGGAATCCAGAACTTTCGGTGCCCGGTTTGCAGAAGAGGGTATGTCAGGGAGGAAGGTGAAAGAGGACTGAGGACTACGGGAGGAAACATAGAGGAAGTTCATGAGTTTTGCTATCTGGGTGATATGGTGGACTATGAGGTGGGTACAGAAAGAACTGTGAGAGTTAGAGTAGCGGCTGCATGGAAGAAATGGAGAGAGATGGCTAGTTTGTTAGTAAACAGAAGTATTCCGTTAAAGATCAGAGGCAATGTCTATGAAGCTTGTATAAGATCAGTTTTGTTATATGGGGTGGAAGTGTGGGCTATGACAGAAAGAGTTGAAGATGTATTGAGAAGATGTGATAGAAAGATGCTAAGATACATAGCTGGAGTTAAATGGCAGGATAGGATATCCAGTGAAGAAGTGGCAAAGAGATGTGGTTTAAGAGAGATACAGAATAGAACTAGACAGAGAAGACAATGATTTGGGCATGTTAGAAGGGAGACGGAAGGAGGAGTACTGAGGTTTGTGGAAGAATTAGAGATCCCTGGAAAAAGACCGGTTGGAAGACCAAAGAGAACATGGATAGGGACAGTGCAAAAAGATCTGAAGGACTTGAATATAGATGAAGGATCAACGCAGGACAGAGAACGGTGGAGGAGGATCATCGCAAGTCCAACCCCAGGCACGGGAAAAGATGGACTATAAACGAAGATGATGATGATGATGATGAAATCTGTTGAGGATGGTTCGGATGCAGACTGTATTTTCTGTGGCGATTTGTACAGTAAAACACCTAATGAAGGCTGGATACGTTGTAATGCTTGCCACCAGTGGGCACACGATGAATGTGCTGGTGTTGATTCTGATGACGATGAGTTCACATGTGAATTGTGTGATGATAACTAGTACTTTGTGTGACTAAAACTAATGTCCATTTTACCCCTTGGACCATGGCCATTTTACCCGAGAGGTCGGGTAAAATGGCCATCAGCGATACAAATCTTTCGGATCACATAGTGTAAAGTCATTTAAGTAGAGAGTTACATTTATTGTTCAGTTGTGTTTGTAATACAAAGTGTTTTTAATTTATATATTTGTTTTGTCTTTTTCCCTGTTTAATCTGTGAATTTTCTCCATCCAAAGTTAAAGTGGCCATTTTACCCCACTTTCCCCTATGTTTGCTTTTTGACACTGATTTCAACAGGAAGATATTGCTGTCAGTGACAAAAACGTTGATATTGATCGCAGCGTTTGAAACCATCCACCGTTTTAGATATGGCACAGTTATAAAGGAAATATTTTCGGCATTATTATTATTTGGTAACGACTATATACTAGCCATTAGTGAAGAACACTACTAAAGGCTACTAGCTGAGGTTTTCTGCCTCGTCAGGGCATATGATCCAACCACCAATGCTGGCACATTTGATAAGAACTTTTATATTCAAAATTGATAATTGTCTAGTAATTGATATAACAGAACTGTTACCCGATTTCTAACACTGGGATATGGCCTTACTGTTTTTGAAATATTTTTACTATACTTATTTGATTTATATGATTTACTTTTTATAAGAATGCTTAGATTGAATCAAGTAATACACATTCACTGAATTATGTTTGTAATTCCTTTGTTGTTTGTATAAACTCGATATTTTTTTAATGGATCCAACATGACCTCACCAGTGCTTTCCTTTAATTTTCTATCCTTCACATACATATGTACACATGCATCATGTTTACTTATTACACATTTCATAACTTATGCGAAAAATGTTGCTCATTTGCACGCATTTAATCTTTACAACGATACACCCATGTTATCACCATACCCCACATTTCTATCTAAAGACTCTATCAACAAACATGCCACTAGCTACTAAGACACCCTAACCCAAGGGCTGGTCACACCGGGTACCGATGAATCGACAGCAGACTTACGCGCGTGGCTGTTATATGTGTGCTCTACTTACTGCTGATTGTAACGTCTACGGTGCTTGACACTGGGTCGCAAGAACTGCTGACTATTCTAGCGTATAATGATCAGCTTTCTCTCAATTCTATGAATCTTCAATTACGTTAACTCATCAACATGAATAACGATGCTGTTTCAGAGACTGGTGAAAGTGACGTTGGCATT